CATTTTGTACCACTTCCAATGGACTCATCCCATACGAGGTGGCATTATCAGGTACTGTTTTTGTAATCTCTACAATGTTTATCATAGTCCCCAGGTCATAACGTGTTCTCAGTAAAGTTTAACCAAATTCAATCTGAGTCATAAATAGAGCAAGAGACCTACTCATGATATATCATTGATAACATTATCATTAAAAGGGAAAGCAATTTGTAAGTTAGTTAATTAGTTGCACAATATTTTATTCCATGACAACAACTATTCCATGCCACAGAAGCTAAGGCAAATTAGGTAATATGGGATTATGTTTATTGCTTTGACAAGAAGGAAACACCTGTTCTGTGTCAAGCTGGAGGTAAGGACCAGGGGTTCAAAGTGGACTATGACCACCTTCTGCGCTCAAGGAGGCTGCAGTCAAGTTGGGGAAGCTGAAGGTCAGCAGATAGTCACTGCACAGGGAGACAATGCTAAAGTGGTACAGAAAGCATGGAGGTGGCAGGGAGATAGACAGGATGCCTGGGAATGCTATCATTGCACATTTCCTCCTGTATATTTACCTACAGCTTACTCTCCCAAGGAAAAGTAAGTGAGCCAAGGCCCACTCACATGTACCCCATGTGAGGATCTATCTGATGAGCTAACATTGACTGTGCTGGCCATTTTATATAGATAATCTCATTTAATCCTTACGACAACTCTGTGGTTTTACAAAGGCCAAGTCACTTGTTCCAGGTTAACAGTCAGAAAATGGAAGATTCTAGCCGAAGTCAATCATCAGCTAAAGCCTAGGCACTTAACCCTTTACTGTAGAGCCTAATTACATGGCAGAGAAGAAGACTAGGAGTCTATTCTAGAGAAAGTCTAAAGTTTCTGACCTATAGAGATAGTACTAAATGTTTCTGTACTTACTAAATGGACACTTGTTTCATGAGGACTATCCATTGTGGACCAAAGGCATGGCTGGAACATAACCAGTCAGTATGTGTTCAATAAGTCAATAATCAAGGGAGGAGAGAATAAAGTGTTGCAAAGATCAATAACTCCTAGCCACTGGGCATGCACCAAACCACTACAACTATCTCCGGGGAGTGATTCTGGACTCCAGACAAGATATTAATTAAGCCCTAACCACCAAGGGCTAGGGAACTCCCTACCAATTAATGGCCAGCTGGGAGCCTGTGAGACCTGAGGCCTACAGAGGGTCATTCCCTTTAGCCAGGCATACTCTCTAGGACATTATCTGTGCAAAGGTCAGGATGGATATTGTGGGCAGAAGAATTGGAATATAACTATGCACGTTTTAAAAGTGGAAATTTTGAGGGTGCCTGGGTGGCTCAGTCATTAAGCATCTGCCTTCGGCTCAGGTCATGATCCCAGGGTCCAGGGATCGAGTCCCGCATCGGGCTCCCTGCTCAGCAGGAAGCCTGCTTCTCCCTCTCCCATTCCCCCTGCTTCTGTTCCCTCTCTCGCTGTGTCTCTCTCTGTCAAATAAATAAATAAAATCTTAAAAAAAATAATAACAGTGGAAATTTTTATATTTGCTAAGCTTCCTAGGTTGTGTCTAGGACATAGTAGTTTCTACTTTGACCTAATTATTCAAATCGTCACTTTCAACTTTTCATTCCAAATGTAGTATAAACCAATAGACATATGGAAAAATGCCCAATCTTAAATAAATTTCATAATGAGAATAGTGAGATACAATTCTTTCCCTATTTGGCAGTGATGAAAAAAATCATCAGAAATTGACCAAACACAATGAAAAAGAGGCTCTGGTAAAAAGGCCTTTTCATGCAGTAATGGTGGAGTTGTATATTAGTAGAACTTACTGGAAGGAAAAGTGGTAATATCAATAAGATGTAAAATCTATGGGTACTTTGACCTGCTAATTCTTGTTCTAGGAATTTATTTGAAGGAAATAACTCCAAGGTTCACATACTTTAAAAATGCTATTTACAGCATTAATACAACCAACTATTTTGAAACAACCTAAATATTAAATATTCACAAAAAAATACTATTTAAATAGGTCATGGTTAACCAGACAACAGAGTCCTAATTAGCCTACCTAAAAGAATGGTGTGAATCTACATGCCATAATGTGGAACCTTCTCCACACTGTTCAGTAAAAAAAGGCTTCTGTAAACCTGCATGTGTATGTAAGTGGCATGCAATGAATGTTGCGGATGTTACCAGCAAGTTGCCTAGAATAAACTTCACCAAATTGGTGGAACAGAGTGGCTCTTTCTGGGTGGTGAGATTTCAGGGGCTTGTTTCTTCTTCCTTTTTCTGATTATCTACATTATTTGAATTTTTACACAATGACCATGTAGTATCTTTTAAAAATGGAAAACCAATAGTTTCTAAATATCAGAACTAAACGTCTCAAAGGCATATAAATTTTCTGGAGAAAAAGCAGGGCTAAACCAGAATAATGGCTGACTTTCAGAAGGAAAATGTGGAGGGATTTTGAAACCTGCCTGACAGCCTTACACAAGAAGTTTTGTCCTTCCCCAGTCTTGGAGAAGGCAGGAAGGGCCACTGGTTAGGAGCCTGTGCTCCAGGGTGAGTCCTTGGGTTCAAATATCAGCTCTATCATTTACCAGGTGAGTGATGGGGCAAATTACTTAACCTCATGTGCCTCAGTGTCCTCATTTACAAAATAAGGGACAGATAGCACCTGCCTCTAGGATTGTTGTGAGGATTAAGGACTAAATGAAAGACACTTACACAATGTCTGGCACATAGTCAATGATCAGTAAACATTAGCTCTTATGAAAACCAGCTTCACACCATTGTAGCCTAAGTAAGTTAAGTTATCCAGAATGAAGTGCTAATGAATAGTTAAAGGAGGGAGGAGGTAGTGGACAATTAGGCAAAGAAATCTACAAAAGTAGACCTCCAAATATCTAGGCTCTGCAGCACAAACATTAAGGGTATGGGCTGTGTGGTTTCAGGCAGGTGACTTAACCTGACAAGTCTTAACTGCTCATTCTGCAGAATGGGGGTCATATACAGAAGGCCATTTTAAGGATTAAATGTCAAGTCTAACACAGTGCATGGTCATAGTAAGTTTTAAATACATATTTGCTACCATTAATAATGATAATTATTATCTACTATGAGATTAAGTAGTGAGCTCCCTGTCACTACAAGTAACCAGGTAGGCTTACTTGCTGCATGAAGAGGATGATACAGAGAGGACTTAGTCATAGAATGAAGGGACAGACTACTGTATTTTTCCAGATCTAAAACTTGAGCAGTCATTGAAACATGAAACTGATTGTGAAATTGGAGTTGTTCCCAGGACTGTCCTGCAGAGTGGCGTGGGAGTCCATAGCCAGCAGGGCTATCTCCCCGGAGAGCTACAGGATGCTATAGCTCTCAGAAGCCAGCCCCACTTTTCAGACAGGTGAGGCAAGTGTGAGATGGTTGCCCCCAACTCTGTCCATTCTCTGTCCCAAGAGTGGCTCTGCCTGCTCTGGAAAAACTGTGGAGAGTGTTCTGGCACCCACAACAAGGAAATCTGGCTGCGGATGAAGATGACAGTATTAAGAGCAATAACTAACCCTACTGACCGCATACTGAATGCTGAGCTTTGTGTTGAGAGATTTGCATAAATGTCTCATTGACTTCTCCCATCAAACCCATGCATCTGTGAGTGTCTATGCTATGAGCATCACCTGCATTTTACAGATAAAAAAAAAATGAGGCTCAGAGAGGATAAGTATTATCCCAAACCCTTTAGCCAGGAAGGGACAGAGGTTTTAACTCAGGTCTAAGGTACATTCAGAATGTGAGGCGTAATTATAAGGCCTCATGACAACTTGGTAACTCATTAGCATTACAGATGGGTCCTATTCCCTTTCAGACCTGCCACTCAACAGTCCCAGCCCCACAGGCTTAGTTGGTCTTTCTCAAGGTAGCTGGGAGCCGAGAAAGCCAAAACTGCCATGGGCATTATCTAATAATTCCTGGCCAGACACCACACACAGAATACTCTCTCCAAGATAATCCAAGTACTTAGCACTTTTATTTCCCTTTAAAATCCTTTAGTCAACCCAGGTGGCATTCAAACTTGCCTTGTCCAGTGCTGTGGGATCCACTGGACTTCTAGATATCAGGTTTTCTTTGCCATGGCAAGTCCTGGGGACAGTCCCCTGTACCTTTCCAGACCTGCATATGTCTTCAAACTCTGTTCTCAAATCACTGATATAACCTGCCCCACAAAGCAGGCAGATCCCAAGGGGACAAAGTCAAAACATCACAGGGAAGAACGCGGGCTTTTGAATCACAGACTCCTAGGCTTACATCTCATCTCCTTCACAGAGTACTTACCTTCCCTGAACCTCAGCTTCCTCATCAGTCTAAGAAGGATTCCGATACTCATAGATGTGTTGTAAGGATTATTGAGATAATGCAATACTGGAAAGGCGATGGGGTGTAGAGGTTAAGAGCACAGACTGTGTAAGTTCAGACACTGGCTCTATCACTAGCTGTGTGTCCTTAGGCAAGTTACTTAACTTTTCTGGGCCTCAGCTTCAGCTGTAAAATAGGGATAATGATAGTATCCACCTCTCTAGGACAGGGAATGAATGAGTTATAGCTTGGAAAGTGCCTAGAACAGCACCTGGCACATTAGTGAGCACTTGGTAAATGTGAGCTGTTATGATTAATGCATGTAAAGGCCTTAGTATGGTAAAAATAAGTACTCAATAAATGGTAACTGTTTTTATTACAAGGTACACCTTCCATGGATAATTTTATGCACATTCATCTCCTGGACAGCAATTGAAAAATGAAGACATTAGGGGAAAACCTTGTTCTTAAGTAAATGTTGCAGCCAAAGCAGAGGGAACTCACCACCCTGTTGCATTGGCAGGATGCCCTAGGACCTCTGCACAATACCCAGCCCTCCTTTGCTTCCAAGAGATCCACTCTCTCAACAAATGCTCATTATACATCCAAAGTGAGCCTAGAAGCAGGCTGGAAATACCCAAGCAGTAAAAAAAAAAAAGGCTCCAGCCCCTGTCATCCTGAGCCTACAGGTTAGTGGGGAAAATACACACTAAATAAATGATTCTTTCAGGACCGCTGCAGTTTGTGTTATGAAGGATGTGTCAAGAAGGCAGAGGAGGGTCCTGCTGTGGTCTAGAACTGAAGGTGTATATGAGGGAGGAGTCCTTGGAAAGGTTCCCTGAGGAAGTGACATATAAGCTGGGACTTCAAAGATGAATAAGAGTTCGCTGGGTGATGCCTGGGAGTGGGAGGAGGAAATGGTCTAGGCAGACAGGCATTTTGTTCCAAGGTCTTGCGGCCACAAGGTGGTTGGCTCACTAGGGGAACAGAAAGAGGGGCACTGCAGCTGACTTACTCCTAGAAGAGCCACCCTAAAGGACTTGGTCAGGCAGGGTGCTGGTATTTGGAGAGAAACCCAGGTCCAAACTGCATTCTCAGTTGCAACCCTTCTCTCTTCCCTTTCAGACACTCCTCACTTGCTGGCAGGACTGCCAGGCCCAGACCCCTGCCCCCAGGCCGGGTGGTCTCAGTTCTCACTCAGATTTCCAGAGGCTGCGAACGGGGCTCACTTTGCCTACATGTGCACTTCAGCCAAGACACTCCGACAGTGATTCTGCCCTCTGAATGCCTTCGGATGCCTCAATCCTATCCTGGTCACACCCCACTGGGTTTTGTGACGAACAAGGAAACAGCATGAAAGAAAGCGATGGCCCCAAAGGAGGAACTTGTGATTGACACAAATGGGGATGTTCCCTTAGGGGCATCATGTATCCTCAAAGAAGCCAGCCCCCAGGTCACTGATTTCCCCGCTTGTTTACATGCTCCGGAAAGAAGATGTGTTTAAGTTTCCTACAGTTCTACAGTGGAAATTGATGCTCTGGGAAAGGAAGCCGTATGTTCCAGATGTAGCAGGTTTCTTTTGGAATTCACACACTGAGAGTCTGGCGCTATCCCCTAAATGGTACTTTTGTTGTCTTTTCGTTCAAGACAGCAAGCTTCTTCCGGGATCAGAACCGCCTGCCAGCCTCTCTTGATAAACAGCCCACCAGCTCTCTTGGTAGATCAGATGTTTAATGATTAGCCTAACTCATTGTTTATCTAAGTGGCAATTATCACCACGATGAAATAGAATTTTAACCGTAGGGAGAGCATTACGGATAGCTCCCAAGGAGAATCTACTGGCTGGGAATGGCCAACAGAGCTTCCCATACACGGAGGAGAGGACCACTTCATCCTGGCTGGCAGATCTCCGCATCTGAGATGCCATCATTAGATGCTGCTCCAAAGACCTAAGGAAATGTGCCCCGGAGAAGTGTATGGTCCCAATCCTTCCAAGTGAGGCTCAATGGCCCAGCAAAATATGAAAGTGCGGCCTGTGCTTCTAAAGCGTAACAGCCTAGAGTCAGTGGAGTTCGTGAAACAACCTCACCATCGCAGGAGCAAATCTCAGCAGGTACGTTTCAAGGAAGATGGGACCAGTAAGACTCCACCTGGCCTAGCTGAGGTTGACATCCAAGCATCTGAGGACCCAGCTGTGATGGGCAAGACTCAGGCCTCCAGGCACCATCACCTCCCCACCTACTCACTCTCCTTCCCCAGGTCCCAGAAGGCAGGGGGCTTTCGGAACATTGCGATCCAAACCTCCCCCAGTCTTAGGAAGCATTTCCCAGTTTTCAAAAGGAAGAGACTCACATCCAGCAAGTCCCTGGTAGAAATGCCAACAGCATCCCAAAGTGCCATCCAGGTCAACGGCAACCTCTCAGAACAGGACATTGTATCCTCAGAACTTGCCTACTTAAGGTTGGCTCAGCATCTTGAGGATGGGCCTCGAAGAGTCAAAGTATCCCACCCATTTCCTCCTAGAATGTCCAAGGTGCAAAGCAATGGGCCTATTAGCGTATGCTTGGAAGCAGGGACTTGGAGGCCCTCAGAGAAAGCAACTGCTACCATTCAGGTCCCAGATGATATTTACCACAGTCCTCCCTGGGCAGCTAGAAAGTCCACTCTCAGCCCAGACAGGTCAGGTGACAAAAGCAACTCCGTCCATCCTCTGGTTGACCCGTGTCCAGGTGATGGGAGAACAGTGCCACTATCAGGTTCAGAAAGATCCCCTTCTTGCTTAGATGCCACCAGCGATGCCAACCACATGCCAGGCACAGGGAAACTTAAACCCGAATTGCTCTTGCCCAAAGACAACTCTGATGACAAAGACCTTGGCCCATTGTCACCTCAGTCAAAGGAAACATGTATTTCATCACCTCCACGGACTCACAGCTCTCCCTCACCAGGCTTCCACAGCCAGCCCACCCATTCAGGAGGGGCTTCAGACTGTTCTTCATTGAGTAACAATCACCAGGATCTACTGTCTCTCAAAACTAACAGCGTATCAATTTCTGCCCCCATATGTCGGGAGCAGATGGCAAAGAACCCCACCCAGTCAGACACCATGGAGTTTCAAAACTGTTCAGGAAGCAATCACCTCCCATCTCTTCCAAGAAGGGAGACCAAACTTCAGAACAATGGAGAGACTGGTGGGATTAATCCAATTCACCTGGCACAGGGGGAACTCTGTGATCTCCAAGGCAGGCTGCAATCCGTGGAGGAATCTCTGCACTCGAACCAAGAGAAAATTAAAGTCCTTTTGAATGTAATTCAAGATTTGGAGAAAGCTCGAGCTCTCACAGAAGGGTAAGGTGAATTTTTTTTTTTATATTGAAAACTACTGGGTTAAGTCATTTGCCGGGACAGGGGCAGAGAGAGAGCACTGGTTTCTGTTAATAAAATGTCTCCAAAGTCTTTGAGGTTCTATGGTTTCCACAGATCATAACCAATGGCCTCCCTTTGTTCCGAATGGGTTTCATTCCTTTCTAGGCTTTGGTGGATTTCCATTGCTATTTGTTTTGGTTTCCAAATATCAACAGACTGGAGAAAGGGGGGCAGTGAAATAACAGGGTCAAAAAGTGTTTTTATAATGAGAGAGAATGATGGCAGAAGATGACAGCACACAGCTACTTCCCCAAGTCCATCCTTCTAGCAAGTTGCTGTATTTGCACAGGATTTTAGTTATTTGTGTGTTTGTTACAAAGGATTTGAGGTTACTGTTGATCTTCCCCTCCACTAAGCACTTTGATGGATTTGGCCAGTCCATCACTGATCCACTAAATAGGTACTGAAATGAGATCACAATTCTGCAAAGAGAAAAAGTCACAGAATGCTTTCCTGGGTGACTCAGCACCAGTCTGGGGAGGGGAAGGCAGTGATTTGTTTAGGTATGGAATGCTTTCCTTTGAAAAAGTGCCCCCTAAAGACTGGGAAGAAGGAATGGCTAAAGCTAATCAACAAAAGGGTAGGAGAGGGAAGAAGTTATTAACTGGCATTTGCTGATATGAATCAGACCCAACACTGCCTTATAAGAAAGGAGCACTGTGGTGATACGGAGAAATGCACTGAACGAAATGGTCAGGGGTTTTAATAATCTCCCTTCTATTTGCAAAGTCCCTCAGTTTCCCTAACTATTGGTGCAGGTAAGAATAACTGACTCATCTCACTGGCTTATCGTCAGCATGAAAACAGATATGAAAGTGCTTAAACATTTATAAAGCCCTCTAGAAATGTGAGGTCCCATTATTGCGGGTTTCTTGTTTATTTGCCATGCAACTCTAGAGCATTGCTACTGATAAGAGGGGTAATGCTATGCTGTAGGAAACCGGTAGCTAGAATGTGTGCAACCCATGGGGCTTTTGCCCATGGATTTATCCAGGAAATGCTCTATCTTGCAGGCGCAACTTTTATCGAACTGGTCAAGATCTCAACAATTGCAGTACCTGCCAGAACACGGCGTGCATCATATACAGGTACCTGGCCACAACCAAGGCCTGCTCTGTAGAGCACAGAAGCTGTGGGGGCCATAGAACACCCTCGTAAACTCAGACACTGAAAGTCAAGAGAGAGGCAAAGAGAGGAGGCCTTTGAATACCTGAAACCTAAAAAAAAAACCAAGGTGTTCAACTATGAAATGTTAACATCTGGTTCCAAGGCAGACATTGCTTCCTTTCCTTACAATAAGGTCTATGAGCAAATCCCATTAATTGCCCTACACTTACTTCACAGTAAGTATAGGCACCGCGCTAAGCTCTGCGTGCATATTTGTATCTCATTTCACAGTTACACCTTGTGAGGCAGGTGTCAATGTCCTCAGGGAAGCTAAGCCATGTGACCCAGTTTGCATTAAACATTTTCAGAGAGCAGGAGGGGTCAGAATCAGGACTCAAATCCAGGTCTTTCTGATCCCAAGCCCTGTGATGATTATTCCACTGCCCTGCCTCTTCCTCAACGGTAGCTATCACCTGCCAAGTACGTAAGATGTGTCAAGAACTGTGCTAAGCACTTTGCGTTCATTACTAAGTACATCATTTCCTTCTAGCGGAGGGTAAGGTTGCTACAATAAAGTAGATTTTTGTAAGTGGTAGATGGGAAAACTCATATAGTGGCAAGTGTGCTAAAGTTGGAAGTCAAAATCCCCAAGTCTGATGCCTGCTCAACTGCCTGGGGCTCAGCTGCCTCATCTGTTGAGTGGGGACAATTATCCCTAGTAAGAGTTGCCACGAGGAGTAAATCAGCTCATTTTTGTGAATGTCTTGTATAATTGCAAACCTTTGTACAAATTCAAGGGCTTATTACTGTTATTACTAGAAAGATCAATGCCCCCTTAGCTGGCAGTCCACTTTCGGTGGCATGGTAGAAAAGTGGTCAAAAGCCATCATTTCAGTTGATGGCATCTAATTTTGTTTGACTAAAGTATACAGTCAAGCTTTCGCTATTACTTTTCTATCTCAGAGGACAAAGGCAGCTAGAGCCTGAGCATATTGAAGCCCGATTGTGTTGTCTGTGTCTTCTTTCTAAAATCTCTCTTTCTCTCTAGTGCAATCCTGGGATTTCATCCTAACAAGGGATTGCGGGGCAGAGGGGTGCTGGAAATGGAAGTCAGGAGGCCCCTATACTTAGGGCCTCGGGCCTTGGGCATTTTCTCAGTGAACTGTCAACTCCTTATGCTTGGGGGTCACAGGACCATGTCTTTTCACACCAACACAAGTTTCACAACCACTCACAGGAAATGTCCTTTATCACAGTGTAAAATATCCCCTCAGAAAAGGGAGCCCTGGAAAAAGCCTGTGGTATTAGAACATGTAAATAGGCAGTCTTATCAATTTCCTAACTTTTTACTCCTTTTTTTTTTTTTATCTCCTATCATAAGCAAATTTCCTAATCACTACGAGGACAAAAACTATTGAATGTCTAGATATTTAGGGAGGACAAAAAACTATTCATCGTAAACAAGAAGAATGACTTTTAATGAACTTCCATTTAAATTTTGGATGATCTCTTTTTTTCAGCAGGGGATGCTGTATTTTCTACCATCTTTAGATGACTTTTTATTGAGGTCTGTAAGTAAAAAGGACAAGGGGTTATTTCTCAATCTACTGTGAGTTTCATGGCCTGGTCTTGAACAAATTATTTCTGGCCTCTGAGTTTCCTCATCTGAAAAGTGAGGGCTTTTAATTAAATGGTCCCTATGTTCCCTTTCGGTCCTGACGTTCTGATGTTCTATGCTGAATTAAAAGTGGCAATATTTGGCTAAACTATGACCTCCAAAAGTCTGAGAATGTTTGCATTTTTCTAGTATGTACTTCAAACATCCCAAGCAAACATTCTAAATTAAGTTACAACCCTGCACAGGTTAGCAAACCCTCACACACACACATCCCTTTCCAGTTTTCCAAGAACAGCCATTGTATGCGTCCATCCCTTATTACCATTCAAAGCCAGACTGCTCTCCCAGACAGTATCTACAGCCTTGTATCTAAGCCATTGCGAAGGAACGGGCAATTAATTTGATGAAAGCAAAGAGATCAGAACAACATCCCCATCAGAGTAAAGTGGGAAGATGAGAGTTGTCATTTTTTTTTTTTTTAACATTTCAAATGACTTCAAACCTTGTGTTGTGTCCTGGGAAGTCAGATCTTACAAACTGATGAATAAGCGATGTGAAATACTCATCCTCAGGCCTTGTTAAGCTGTAGTCCCTCTCCCTGATGATGGATGGGCCCAGTCCCCATCACTGTACATAAAGCACATGGGCGCCTGATAGGTTGCCTGCTGGGTCTTCTGCGGAGATGTTGCTGCTAAGTTAGCAACACATAAAGTTTTCCAAGTGGCCTCATTAGCCAAAGGCTATGGCTATGCTACTTGCTTCCATTGAGAGGTCATTTGTTCTATCCAATTCATTTTCCCTGCTCCAAGAACAGCCCTCTGGGTGCCCCAAACCCTTGCCCCTTGGCTTTCTTCTTACCATGGATCATTCTGGCAGATCCTACCTCACCAAGGAGAACAGCACTATACCAATACCTACAGATCCCATGCCTAACTCTCAGGGGCTCCCAGGGGCTTGCATACGGCAGGGAGGATGGGCTCCTTGGAATTGTGACTACTATAGGTACCAAGGGAAGAGTGTAGGAATTGCCTCTATACCTTAAGCTGGTCCCAGGCTGTTTAGTCCCCACTCTCCTCATCGCTTTAGTGTTAATCCTAGGACAAGTTACTCAAAGGGTTGGGTGAACGCCACCCATGGTACCAACATTAAGTAACACTGAATTACCTGGTGAGAAGATTGTCCTTTTTTTAAATTTAATTCAATTCCTCTGATTATCTAACAGGGGAAATCTGAGTTTGGTACTAGAATATCTTCAAAGCCTTTCTAATGCTTGCTTATCACACTTCTTTGCCAAGAGAGAGCAGCTCTCAGGTTCATAGCCATAGGCAAGCAACAGTATCCAAACAGAGGGTTTTAAAGTTTTTACTGAAGTTTTTAACCTTGAAAACTAGTCCCTCTATATATTCATTGCAAGTGATGCAAGTCTCCACTTTCAAAAGTGATATTCTTGTTTTGGATAAGTGTTCAAGTTTAAAAGTGAATTGATTTAGAGAGAAAAAAAAAAGTAAGTAAACATGCAGATGGTGTGGGGAGTTTCACAAAGGCCTGGAAGGTGGTGAATGAACCATGAAGTTTGAGAGACGCTGTCCTAAGGAATAAGCTCCCTTTCCTCTTCTTCTCAAGGCCACTGTGTCCCTCCACGCCACATCCCTTCTCCATCCCTCATCTGTTCTCTGCTTTTCCAGCACTTTGTCTTCACGGTCACTCTAAAAAAATAATCACCGAGTCTCTTTGGAGGTCTTTGGCTACACCAATCATGCATTTATTTTCTGGACACAAATCCCAGAAAAAATCTGCTTGGTCTAAGTTGTAAAATGCCTCAGATGTTTTAGGGAAAAGAATAGGAAGTTTTTCTCATAAAAAAAAAAAATTTCTTCTCCCATCTAAGCGTGTTGCTTAGGAAATGCTAATAAAGAGCAAGCTGCAAACTTAGCATTTGAAATGGGTGAAGGGAGAGGTTGGCCATGGAAGGTTTAAAAGATGCTGGAGAGGAGAGAGCAGCAAAAGAGCTGTTGAGTGTGTGGGGGTCTACCTGAACAGCTCTCTCCTGCCTCCTCTTCTCAGCCTTAGCCTCTTTTCATGGTTTCCACTGCACTCACAGGTTTTAAATTTATTTCTGTGACACCACCCTCCCCTACCTTTTTCATGAGATTGCTCTTTCTCTCTGTTTACCTATAAATATTTCCATGTTGGTATCCCAAAGCCACCTTAAATTCACCATTTATCAAAACACACTCCTTATTTTCTTCCTATTATTTCTTACTTTGCTCAACATCATTAACCATGACATCATAAACCTTAGTTCCCACTGCCTCACTCTTCTCCTTCACAGCACACATCAAACTGGCTAATAATCCTACTTGCTAAATCCATCCCCTTTGCCTCTTCCCCTCTGTCTCTGATCAGTCAAGGCCCTCATCGTTTGTCACTTGAACACTACCTCATCTTTTTGCCATAAGTCCCTTTTGCCCCATCCCAGGTAATCCTCCACACAGATTGCTAAAGTACCTGAGAAGTAAAATCTCAACATGTCACTCCCCTGCTAAACAATTTTGCCCTGGTTTCTGTTGCTGCACTTAGCTAATTTTTCAGGGCCCTCTGAATGTGATATTAACCTTCTTACCTGCTGGGTCTCCTATTTCTCCTCAGCCACAGAGAACTCTGGCTAGTTTCAAATACTGTGTGTTCTATCATGCTTTGGTGCCTTTGCATAAGTTCTCTCATTTCCTGGAATGCCTCTTCTGCCCCGTCTTGTCTGGAAATTTTCTCTTGCAGCTTAAAAGCCAGTTCTTCTGGATAACCTTACATTCCTTCCTGTGGTGGAACCCCATAGCATGCATGTTCCTCTGCTATACCATTTATCCTATTGCATTGTAACATAGTGTTGATGAGTTTCTTTCCTTCAGCAGAGGGCTAATATCTCAAAGTTGAGGGCCAGTGTCTAGTACACAGTTGATGCTCAGTAGATATTTGTCAAAAAAGGAAATGGCTACATTGACTGGGGCAAGGATAAAAAGCAGTGGTGGGTTAGAGATAGTTATTTAGATTGCCCAAAAGTAAAGCCTACTCTTGGTTGGGAAGTGGAGGGTCTTAATTAATCAAATGTTCTTACTGGGGAAGGAAGGCTTCTATGCAGCAGGTCCTCAGTAGATATTTTTGAACTGAATCAAACAACAACCGAATGTAGTACAAAGATTGTTGACTTTCAAATACCTGGAATGCTACATATTCTAAACAAGATAGAATCTAATCAAATCTTTCTTCGATTAATCAGAGAGCTTGTTGCAATTTCATAGGACATTGAGATCCTTGTTCATCACAGCCATCCAACATTATTGCCCAGTACTTCTGTACCGGCTGTGG